CGTCAAATTGTTAATGCTCCCTGGTACATAACAAATCATACACTATATATAGATCTACAGGTACCAACCGTACAGGAAACAATATGCAAGAAAGCCACCACACATCATAACTCCATAGAAAACCACCCCAATCAGCTCATGGAACAACTCCTGGAACCAGTAAGCAACAAAAGACTCAAAAAACTGTGGCCAAGTGAACTACTCTTAAGTTAATGTATAGATACTAATTATAGATTATACAGGTGATTTCGCTGGATATCAACCTCTTCATGCCACTAGTCATTAGTATATCTAATGAGTAATCAGCACTTTAGCTTATAGAATTATGTAATATTCTCATTGCTAAAATCTAAATAAAAAAAAATATCTACTGAAAGGGGTCTCACTCTAAGTAAATGCATGTTTTGGCCTGTGAGTTTCTGGGAATCTTGGTTCTGATCTATGAGAATACTAAAATAGATATTCAGGTTGACATTAATGAATGAACATTTCAACACCTGTGACTAAGTGTATTCCTTCTTACAGTAAGCTGGCTAATGTGACAAAATATATGGTCTGTCATTATAATACAATAATATAAATATAATTTAATTTTGCTCAAATAGTCATCTCCCTTTATTTTCATGCATATCAATTTAGTGAATTCAGTGTGAGATTGTTATTTTCAGCAAAATAAAATTGAAATAATGCACCATGAAGAAGAAGAAGATACACTGTTGAAAGTTAATTTCTTTTGTCATATTAACTTACAATTTTAATGAAAAAATTTAAATTATAATTACTGACTACTTTCATGAAAATTGCCTATTCTATCATTCTTGTATATCCTTTTTAACATATGACACAGACAAATCAGAACTCACTTATTTCCAACTGTTTTGTATGACAGTTTGAAAAGTCTCTCAGAATCATATGAGATACAAGGGTTGGATAAAAAGTAGTGGCAACACTGCTGTAACATGAAAGATGTGCTTCAGGTGGCACTAGCGCCATCTGTAGCTGATAGCAGAAGTTCAGTTGAAGTACTGCAGTGCATGGCTCTGGTTGTGTGTCATTGAGTTGCATTGTGCATTGTCTTGAATTGCAGGAGCCCAGTTAAAGCACCCTAACAACATGTTTACGAAACAAGAACAACGCGCCTGAGAGAAAATTGAAGTTGCACGAGGTCGTTGTGCACAAAACTGTTATCAGGGACTGTGAGAAGCATGTGGTGATGCTGCTTTGCCATATCGCACAGTGGCACGATGGGTGAAATTGTTCTGTGAAGGGAGGGACGCCATTCAGGACAGCCGTTGTTCAGGACGACCCCATGTTGACAACCACACAATTCAGCTTCTTGTTTCTTTGCTGGATGTCGATCATCGATGGGCTGCACGGGAGATAGCTGCTGAGGTAGGTATATGTCACAAAACTGTGCTCCACATTCTGCACGATATTCTTGGATACTGCAAAACTGCAGCACGTTTGGTACTCCATACAATGTCCGAAGTGCAACAATGGCAATGTTAAGCAATTGCACGGGACTTGCTGGACCGGTACCAGAGGGAAGGTGACGACTTCCTTGGAAGGATCGTCACTCTGGATGAAACTTTGGCTCACTCATATGAACCGCACTTGAAGCGACAATCAAATGAATGGAAGTATCCTGGTTCTCCTCATCCAAAGAAAGTACGCCCTACACAGAGTAATGTGAAGGCGATGTTCATTGTGGCATATGATATTGATGGAGTGATACTGCACCACACTGTACCTCTGTGACAGACAGTAAACGCTGCCTACTACTGCAATTTCCTGCATAATCATCTTCATCTAGCACTCAGGAGAAAGCGATGACACCTGTTGGCAATGAACCCCATCATCCTTCATGACAATGCAAGGGCTCATACTGATGATGCTGTCAATGGGAGATACTAGAACATCTGCCATACTCACCCAATATAAGTCCGTATGATTATTAGCGTTTTGCCAAAAAGAAAAAAACCACTGCGACCGACACGTTACAACACAAGAGAGGAGATTATTCATGTTGTAGGGCGGTCACGGATGGACATCAACAGAAGTGGATGCGCTGATGGTGTACGACGCTTTCCACAAATTTGGCAGAAGACTGTACACATGGCGGGCAATTATATTCAAGGAGTGTAAGTGTGTTTACCTCAGGTAATATAGCCATTTCAAAACTATAAAGGTGTTGCTGCTACTTTTTATCCAACCTTTGTAAATGCAGAACTAAGGAATCTGATGACAATGGTCTATAGTACCTGTTCCTGTTTCCTTTGAAATATCTATCTCATGCAAGATCCTGCTTGCCAGCAATTTTACCATACCTCGGTGACAGGTTCTTCTTATTATTGTTGTTATTATTATTTTTATTATCAACTGTTGGCTGTTTGACGGAAATGCAGCTTGATGCCAAGCACTTAGCAAGCTTTGTTCCCTCAGGACACTGTCATGGGCCTGCAAGAATAGAAGTTCACGACGCTGGGCATCCATATCAAGAGTCTCCATTTGATTCCTGCAAAACAATACCTGTCACAATTAACTGAAAAATTAGAAGATATGCCTCTACCAGTGTAAAAATAGTATATTCATAATCATCATAATTTGATTGCATTAGTTGTTAGTATTTTCTAGGCGGCGCCATAGCTCAAGCGGTTAGTCACTGGCTTCCCACCGTGGTGGCTCGGGTTCGATCCTGGGTCTGGCCAAGTGGAATTTGTGGTGGACAAAGTGGTGCTGGGGCGGGCTTTCTCTGAGCACTTCAGTTTCCCCTGCCAATCTTCATTCCACCAAATTCTCCATCATCATAATCACCCAGGGCAGGCTACAATAGGCCAATCAGTGGCCGTCCTGCCAAGTGGACCCAGTTGGACTCCACCCCTCACTAAGGGAATTAATTAGTATTTTCTTATGCAGGGCAGAGACTCATATGCATGTCGATGTTACATTTTATAGTCCAAAGCAACTTGTAATCAACCTTTCATAATACTAATACCATAACCACATAGTCTGGTGAAGAACTTGGGGTCTCTTTTTCTAGTGGTATAAAATATATATATATATCAGAACAGCACCTTATATTCATACAGTAGATATGACATGAAATTCTGGAAATAACTAGTTGCCTTTCCTTTGATATGGCATGGACTTCAGAGCAAATGATGTGTTCAACAATTCTTCTATTGTTGAGCATGTTTTCCCTGCTGTGGTAACGTTTTTACTGAACTGTTACCCAGCAATGATACGGGAATACACATACAGACACACAGACTGATGGGATTTATGAAGTACACTCCTGCGATGGGAAAAGGTGCCATGATATACATCCAAGTTTAATAAAGACTGGTTCAGGCACTCAGAAGTTGATAGGGGGATACACACAAAGACAGCATGGTGATCTCATAAGCTTAGTTTTTTAATAAGAAAACTAGGCTAAAAAGTTAAATAAAACCGACAACCAAAAGGTAAGAAACAGACTTCAAATTAAGAAGTCGTGTACTCAAGATGCAGTTGCATTGGTGATATTCAGCTTTGCCTTTCTCTTTGTACATATGTTAGCAAGTCACCTCTCAATACCAGATCCTCCCTATATCAAATACAAGCATTCTGAAGAAAAAATGGAATCATAATGCAATTTTTTTACATCTTACTTCTTCAGAAATTCCTGCAAACAAAAAATATGTTGTAAATGCAATGTACCTGTTTGGGTGTAACTTATTCTCCAGTTGTAGAAGAAGGAGATCCCATGCAATACGATCTCCAAGCTCTGGAGATGGGCTGCTTCGACACCATTACATGCATTAGGCAAGAAGAGTAGGAAGAACCAAACAGAACATAAGCATGCTAGATGTTTAGGGCATGTAGTTCACACTTCAATCACCAAGCATTAAATCCACTGGCACATTTGTTATTTTACCCACAGTAGAAAATTCCATTTATTTTCAATACTAATATCAAGCATGTTGCCTCAACTTGCAACTTGCATTTAGGAAGTGCTCAGTTTGAATCCTAGATGGGCACTAGATATCCTGAATCCTTTTTCTTTGCTTTCACAGTCTCTCTAGGCAAAATGCAGGAATTCTAATTTAAATTAGGTCACAAACACTTCTTTCTACATCCATTTCAATTACTTACTTACTATCATCCAGTCTATCAATGCTATAGAACATGAGTTACTGACAACACCAATAAATAAACTACAAATAATGGTTGAAATTTATGTACAAATTTCTTAATTATATAAATTTTGTTTATAACCGCTATAAATTTACTGCTAACAACTTTCAGCTAAGATAATGTACTAATTCTTTTATGTACCAGGCAGATTATGTACCATCAAATGGTGATGCCTAGTGAAAAATTCGTTGGCAAGGACGTGGAAAGAAACAGTTACGGTGTAATTTCAAGAATTATTCTGGAATTTGTCTGAAGGGGCTGAGGACATAATAGAAAACTCAAGTCACAGTAGCTAGTACCTGGACCAGTACTTGGACGAGGACCTACCAAATACAAAACACGAATCCTACCCACTTAACTGCAATGTAAAGTAGTAGAATTAATTTTGAAATAATTATATTTTTGGATTTGTCATAGTACTCCTTAGATTACAGCACAGATTAACACAAAATGACATGGGCAATTATCCTTGTCTGGGTGGAATTAAAGACTATGAATTTTTTAGGAACAGACTTGTGTATGAAGGCGAAGTTTATGTTACTTTTTATTACTAATTTGAGAAACAGTTATAACAAACAGGATAAGACTGGGCTTAATTAGGCAGTGGTTCTCACCCATTTCTGATTCAGAGATCAGCACATTTTCCAGACCGTCTCAACCTGCTTGTCACTAGCACATACAAATTAGACAACGCTTTTAGCTGGTACTAAAATTAAGGCAATGCCATAGCTGCCTGTATTGAAAAGTAACAACTGAATATCTGCTGTTTGCTTTCTGTTTGCAGTGGCTGGCCCTAAAAATCTGTGCCCTCTTTCCACCATTAGGACTCTCACACCTTTAAACTCCATGAAATGAGGAGGAAAAATATAGTAATGTTTGACACAAACTTTTATTCACTAGAAAGAAAAACTAAAACATAACTGGTTATAAAGTATTAATTTCTTTCATCTCTCTCTCTCTCATGCACGCATGCATACCTAGACAGAGTCATCAGACTACCAGCTGAGAAACACTGTAGTAAGGGGCTGTTTACATTTCCTCATAAACATAACCTCAAAAGTTTACAACATTGATACTTTAGTAATTTTCAACAGATATTCAGATCTGCGTGCAATAAAACTTTAGTTATGGAAATGGTTACCATATTATTTTTACTAGACAATTGAAATAACTACAACAGCAGAAACTCTTGCACCATACAAAACTGCAGATTTCATATCGTGTGATGCTAATGTTCTTAAAATAGTCATGGTGTTATATTTTAGCGTCCTGTTGCACTGATTTATGTCCATGATTTATTCCAGCCATCTTACAGTGCATACACTCATCCACCTCACTCTTCACTACTGCACTACATGTTTTGGCACAAAGGTGCCATCTTCAGGTGCTTTTCGATTTACGTTAAACTACTTCACTGCATGCCTTGCCGTCTTCATACTAAAATAACTAAAATATATGTTCATCATATATATTGATAAATATTAAATATTAAAACTGTTCAGAATTTTTTTATCCCTACGTCGCATCTCAATACGCGAGTCACACCTATCCTCTTCTGTCGGAGCACTCTTCCTACATTCGTGTGTGTATTGTGCTTTGTGTTGTGTCTTGCTCCTGTGACTGCGTGTGTTATACTGCTGGGCCTGCTAGGTATATGATACCCAGCAGGGTAATATTTTTAATATTTAATATTTCTTTTTGAATAGAATGAAACTATTCAACCGCAAAGACATGTTTTGTCCATATCATGGATTGTGAAATAGGGGCCTAGTGGACAAATATTCTTCAATTTCAGGGCGTCTGTCGATTCCTGTCATGAACACAATTCCTAAGTATGTCCAGATTTCATCTGATGTGACATATTTGTAATTGTGTTTTCGAGAGTGAGTAGCTAACTCATGTGTGTTGAAGTGCTGGTGAGCATAGCGATTGGTTTCTGTTGTGATGTGACTTACCAAGTCATCATCCAGAAAAAGTTTTAATCCATGAAAAGGGATGCATTTTATGTGTTATATCAATTTTGATCCCGAAACTACTAGCAAAAGGAACTATTTTTGGTACAATGTCTCCGTACGTTCATGAGATGGGCGTGTCAGGCACCGCAATCATGGTAGGTAAATGTTCATGATTACTGTCTTGTGGATCACTGTCTATCACTGTATTATTGTCGTGGATCACTGTCTATCACTGTATTATTGTCACTATCAACTTTATCCAATACAGGAATCATTATTTCATCGCCACTATCATCATCAGAAAAAATTTCGTTCACAACATTTTCCAGCTGGTCTGTAGGAACACGAAGTGACTTGCTGCAAGAAGCCATGGTGAAACTGAATGAATGTGAAATATTTTCTGACCTTTTCCTTCTCAGAGAGTTCTGAGAGTAATATAGACCCCCACAAAGTTTACAAGGGTTCTTTACAAACATGGACAAAAACTATCATATATATGTCTTTGGTTGATGAGTGCCAAGAGAGCAAAGAAGGGAAGAGATTGTCAAAGTGTTAAAACACGACAATGCCAGGGAACGGCTGGCATTGTCCGGGCGTTAAAACACGCCCGCGCCAGTCAAAGAGATATGATGCTGTCTGGTTAGGACTAGGTGCAGGTTGTTTTCCACCTCTGCCTATGAGACCTGGCACCACTTGAAAACCTTGAGGTCTCACATAGGCCCTGGGTGGGGCTCTAATTTCTGAGAGACGAACACCTGGCTTGTTATGACGCAAGTACTTATGCGCCTCTTGATTTGACATGTGCACCTGTAATACAACACAGAAAAGACTTTATGTACTAGAAACGTGTAATGCTGTAAAAGATATATAATCTCCTTTTAACAACAACTAACAACTCTGTTTCCATTTTTGTTCATTGTCTCTTTTCACTTTATAACACATACTTCATTATCAGAATGTTGCTTTATGCAATTATATTTAGACGTTCTGTCTGCTTCTGTCCATATAAATTTATTTGGTAACTTATTATTTGTAAGCAAAGTGATTCACAGTTCAGAAGCCAGAGTTCAGAGGTTGTAAGGGAGATAATTAGGAGCAGAAAATGTAAATAAATTGTTGTTTTGAGTCATCGCCCTTATCAATTTTAAAAAATGAACTAATTCCTCATTCATGTATGCATTCAGTTATTTACGTATAAGATCTTCATTTATTACTTTCAACAAGATTCTGAAATTATTAGCTCTTTTCGGTTTGAATTTTACATTATGGTTAATAAAAATATATTATCAGTAGTGAGAACTCACATGCAGATATGTGAATTTCTTCATAAGACACATGCATGCTTCATGGTAATATCGAATGGAGTCTTTAACAGGATCCAATT